AGCAATATGTTTTTGCGGTGATAGTTTCTCTTACTAAATGAGTTTATGACAAATTTTTTCTTCAATATTACGTGCAAATGATACTCATGTGTATAAAATATATATATATATATATATATAGATTTATATACAGGGTATCTTATAATTGAGAGTACAAGCAAACGGGGAATAAACTAAACGAAAAACTATAATCAAAAATATACAATCAAAGTTTGTGTTCATATATAAATCTTTGTTTTTGAGAGAAATTAGTTTGATAATCAGATTCAACTCTGGGATAAATTAAAAGTTGATAAAATTACTCAATTGATAATTATCATACTGATATATAATGTTTGTAAATATATTAATAAATAGAAAAACAAAAAAAAAAAATTGTTCTTCGAAATATCCGAGAAATAAGATTAGTAAAAAATCTGTCAACCTGAAGCCTGATGAAACTTTTACTTGATACATTTTTAAACTTATTTTTCTCGAGAATATTTGATTGAACATTAAAACAATCATTTACATATGAAACAAATTTTGATTGTACAGTTAGGATTTAGTTTTTCATGTAAAATCATGATTGTTCGCTTGTATCATCAATTGTACAGAATATCCTGTATATATATATATATATATATATATATATATATATATATATATGTATATATATATATATATATAAAATAGAAACATCGGTCATAGATACGTACGTATTTTCATCAAACGAGGGAGAAGAGATATTACATTTAAAATAACAATAATTTTTTTGTTCTCCAAATTAATTGATAAGTTTATCCCATTGAAAAAGACTGCCACAATTTTGGTGATGTCCTTATCGATTGATAAGCATATATGATATACAATTTATTTCTTATTGGAAATCTATTTATTATTAATAACAAAAGCAGGATCAAAAAAAAAAAAAAAAAAGAAGAAATTTATAAAAATGATAGGATAAATCGATGCCCGAATAAGCATCATTCTCTGTAAAAAAAATTCTATATATAAATAATGTAAAAAGAGTTTTAACGCAATTCATATATATATATATATATATACATATATATATATAGATAGTAATATCATAATATGGCTCAAATGGAAAAATTATTGTCTCGGCGGGCCATAGATACAGTATTTTAATCTTACGTGAGAAATTAACGCTATTATTACAGATATGTAGAGAAAAATCATAGAACGTTATTTTTCACTTTGATAGAAACTATATATTACAAATGATCTCTTTCGTTCTAATTGAAAACATTATTTGATTCTCATATTAGGGATTGAAAAAGAGTTATATTAAAAAAAAAAAAAAAAAAAACATGTTATTAAAAAATATTATTATGACATTTTTAAAATTAATTCAATTGTACAATATACAATTTATATAAAGATAAAATGAAGAATATTATATAAAGATACATTTGATCTCATAAATTTTAATTATCTTTGACACTACTAACATGCATATATTGTATATATATATATATACACACATTAATTATTTTATCGATATCTTTCTTTGATTTTTTTTTTCTTCTCTCAATTTCTCTTTCTTTTTTTTTTTCTATTTCTATTTCACTCTATTTCTCTCTCTCTCTCTCTCTCTCTCTCTGCATTGTCACATTTTCATTCACTATAAGTTGAGGATAATTAAATGAATTAATTTTTATTTATATTGAATATATATATATATATATATATATATATATATAAAAGGGGCCCGTCGATGCAAAACAATCAATATAAAGTATAATATCGTGTAAATACTTTATTTTTCAGTAATAATAATATAATTTTTCCACAACACGCACAACACACATTTGCCATCATTCATATATCATATTTTTGTTGTGCACATCGTCTGTAAGAAATTGGTTCTCACTTAGATTTGTGCTTTCTTTTTTTTTGCAATTATTTGTCTTTATTATGAAGAATTTGAAAAATGCAATGATGAATCCTTCAAAACATAGATTATAAAGAATACTTACTGCCACTACGTGGAATATGGATATATAAATATATAAATAGACAAAATGTGTAAAAAGTAACAGTATATAGCAATTTTGGTATAGTATGCTATTTTTACAAATTGTATTGAAAAGCAGTAATCGAGGAAAAAAATAAAATTTAAAACAAGTTTCACCAAAGAATCATTCAATTTTTTATTCTTCTTTTTTACTTAGTTTTCTATATATATATATATATATAATTGATTATTGATATTAAATATTGATATATAAAGAATTTTGTTTAAACATTTTTTATGATATTTATATTTTGGTGAAAAGAAGAAAATATTAATAAAGATACATTGGAATAATAATTAATGAAGAAGTATTGTGGTTTAAAAAAAAAAAAAAAAAAAAAAGAAAGAAAGAAAGATTGCACTTGGGTTGGTTTCATTGGCTAGAGCGCGCGCTTGGCCACGCCTCTTTCTTGTTTGTTCTAACCTTATATCACAAGTATTTTTCTTATTGGCAGAAAGGATCAACATCTACTAATTTGAACGTCGCAAAGGAAGAAAAAGGAAGAATACGTCAAGACAAAGTAGGATAAAGGGTTAAAGTATTGTGGTGATATAATCACACACACATTTTAATGTTTTTATATCTATCTATAATTAACTATAATATATAGATATGTTTAATAGGTGATACAATCGCAGTTCTCTCCCCTTTGTAAGGTTTATAGTAAATGCATACATATTGGGATCTCTGGCAAGGGGGGTGTGGCGTAGCAATTCGACCTATCTACTCTAATTTTGAATTTAGCCACCAGATTGCGCATACAAGTGCTAGAGATCCCACGTGGCGTAGCAATTCGACCTATCTACCCTAATTTTAAATGTAACCACTAGATAGCATATTCAAGTGCTAGAGATCCCAATATGCATATGTACACAAATACTTATTTCATTCTTCTTACATCACCACACAAATCCAACGTTACAAAAATTAACACTAATTCAATCAACACGAAATCCATATTATATAAATCTCTATTATGTATGCTTACTCTTAATACTGTAATTTTGTCACAAAAGATTTATTTATCCTATGAACTCCAAGAGAGTCAAGAAGTGAGCGACGTAGTTCCTTTTGTTCCGGTACCTCTCCGAGAGAGAGAGAGAGAGAGAGAGTGCAATTTTTATTATTAATTATTATACATTTTATATTATACATATTATGCTTTAATCGAAAATCTAAGACACCATGTCAAGTACATCTTATTATATAATAACAAATTTGAAAGACTGATCTGTACTTGTAAAGATGCATTATTTATCTTTAAGTACAGAGCCTTTAGGAGCAATATTGAATCAAATATTGATCCTTGGACGAATGCTGACATGGTTGCTCTTATTTTATCTTGCTTTGAATTTTTGTTTGATTAAAAACGAGTTAGAAAATATCAAATAATTCATTTTTAATTGAAATTAATCTAATGGAAGAATAATATTTGTTTATTTGTTTGTCTGTTTGTTTGTTTTATTTTTAATTAACATAAGCATTTATTATGATATTTTAAAATTATTAGTGATTAAAATCTTATCATTCGATATTACTGAATTAAATGAGGTTGTATTTTTGATAGATCAATTGTGAACAATTAGGGTAGCGAGTAGTTCTGATCATTCGATCCCGGAAGCGGTCAGACCTACTTCAGGGCTTAGCGACCCTGCCCACGCCAGCTCTTGTATTTCTTTCATTTCCAAACCGAGAAATACAAGTCCCTTACCCTTATCTAGTAACTACAACCAAACTTTCCTTGATTTGTAATCTTTCCTTTTTGTATTCCTCTCTTATCCTATTGCAGAAAGAAGAATGATCCTTTTAAATGAATACCTCAAGCAAACTTTTTATGAATAGATTCTAATTCGATGATTAATGTAGATACATGACAGTGAAAACCGGGATAGCTGATAGTGATAGTTGATGATATATTAACAAGGAAGTTACGATGTTCGATAACAAAAAGCAATCAAAATGAGAAAGAGAAAAGAAATCTGAACAATAGTACAATTATGAACAAATGTCTTTAAAGAGCATTGCTCGTTCGGTAAAGAAGGAAATGATTAGTGCACAAATAAAAAGATTGAATTAGTGATGAGGGATCCTTTCGTTTTGTGCCATGTCGTGATCATTACTTTAACAGGGGAATTTAGTTATAATATATACTCGTAATTCTTCTAATTATATTTAACATTTTACCAACCGCTAAGGTTTCAACAGCATATGCACGTCTGACCAACAGTTCAGCTGCAGATTCTACTAACAAATTTTAATAAGATGCTAAATAAGATTCTAATAACAAATTATTGTTCATATAATTTTAGTGACTTTTTATCGCAATGTCAATCGATAACTAAAAGCTGATTAATCAATTTTTGTTCGGTCAGTGTCGGTAACAATAAAAAAGTCTATAAATAGGCTAGCGGTCGTTGAAATGTTAAGAATATAGAATACTTAATAGTAGTATTATTTCATATTATTTATATCATTGTAACTAACGGCGATAATGAAATACAAATGATTCCATGTTTTTGTTTTATTATCCTAATTATTTTATAATTCAACAACAGCAACAGCAACAACAACAACAAAAACAACAACAAATAAAAGGATCTAACACTTTTTCTAGAAGATTGATTGAGATAAAAAGAAAGAGAGAGAGAGAGAGAGAGAGAGAGAAGGAGATTCGCATAAAACAATTAGATTATCCATATACTAAAATCACGGGGAAATTCCAGAATTTCAAAGCCATCTTCTCTACGTCGATGCCGAAGGCTACTTCACCTCGTGTCGTGTATCGGAGGACCCGGTGTACGAGAGTAGTCCCTGCGGCGATCTAGAAATGGGATATAATCAAGACGAGGAAGAAGATAGAGAGGGGAGGGGGAAAGTGAGGATGGGAAGGAGATAGGAAAGGGAGGTAGGGAGGGCTAGGGGGAGGGAAGTAGGTAGGCAGGCAGGCAGGCAGGCAGGCAGGCAGGAAGAGAAGAGGCAAAGGTGGGTTGCAAGGGAGAGATCGGCGAACTCGACGACGGCAGCAGCGGGTCTGGTTCGAGGGATGACAGCCTGAGGCTAGTAGTGCCTATTGGCGTTGCGGATATTGAGTTCATGGTTACCATGGTAACGGGGCCCGTGGCTACGATCTTCCTACGCTTTATTCCTCGTTCTGGAGGTTACGCGATCGGCGCATCTCTCACTTTTTTCTTTTTTCTTCCTTTTTTTTTTTGTATCATCCTAATATTTTATAAGTATATTTAATTAAGGGAGGAGGGGTGGTTTATTATTGTCCGTTAAAAGTAATAAGTAAATTGTGACAAATTTTGATGGCAATTTTTTAACACGAGCATGGGGACATGTGTGTATTGTTTTTATGGTATCGAGTTACGTGGGTCACTGAAAAGTAATATTTCATTTTTTCTTTTTTTTTTTGTAAATAAAACACGTCACATATACGTAACAATTCGTATGTGTGTATATAGACGAACGATAGTTTATTCGCGATATTTACAATAATTAATATATGGCATATAAATACATATAAGTACATCTTATTATTATAATAACAAATTTGAAAGACTGGCCTGTACTTGTAAAGATGCATCATCTATCTTTAAGTACAGAGTCTTTAGGAGCAATATCGAATAAAATATTTATCCTTGGACGAATGCTGACATGGTGTTCCTTCACTCCTTCATATTCTTTTTCTGGTCTCTTTTTTTTCTTTTCTTTTTTTTTTTTTTTAAAGCTAACATTAATTACGTTCATTTCACGTAAAAAGATTCTAGACGCAAAATATCGTTTTTTTTTCCTCGTACAGTTATGTCGATTTGGTCTTTTCTTTTGAAGTCAACTCCGCGCATACGTTTGGTTTTTCTTTTAGCACGAAAAAAAACAAAAAAATCAGGAATGATAAGGATATCGATATTTAATATATCATCGAACGGTTTTTAACGTCATTGAATCGATTTATCCAATTGCAGCGTAAAAATAGATTTAGCTTTGTAGATAATTGGAGATGAGAACAGTTGTTTGAATCACGATTGTTCGGTTCATTCGAGTATTCCATATTAGAGACGATATTAATCGCGAAAATCGATAAAACGATGATGGGATAAAAGTGGATCGTTTTCCGTCAGGTATTAACAGCCTGTCTGACGAATAGGTATTCTGAAAATTGTTGACCTTCACCACCTCCACCACTACTGGCAACAATACGAAATCCTGCGTTGAGTAGTCGAGTAATAGCTTGAACGGAGTTTAGTTTGCAAAAGCCATTCAGTGGAAACCTGATGACATGACGGGTGTCCTGTTGATGCCAGGCAATACCAGAACGTGCGTTAATCACAGCTTGCATAGCCTCGGGAAATACTTCATCGAGAAGTGTGTGACCACCCGAGAGCATAATTCTTTCACCGAGATCAGGATTGACGTGTAGGGCAACGCATTCGTAACTGCGGTTACCCTCGGTACCGCGAAATTTTTCGGCCTCGTGATCGCACGGCGACACGCAACTCGAACAACCCGTACACTCCAGGGAACAACTCGACGTTCCTTTACCGCGCATGCCAATTTGTCTTCCTGAGCCTTGTTTAGGCGACGAGGATGTCGTAGTTGTCATAGTAGACGCTGCCGAAGCAGTCGAGGTTGCCGTTGAACAAGCCGAGCCTGTCGTCGATGATAAATTCGTAATGCCATTCTTTATACGTTCCTTTTTTATTTGTTCCAATTGTTTACACATTGCTAAAAAAGAAAAGAAAAACACACACACACACACAGATGATTATTAATAGGTGTTCAAAATTTAATTAATAATATTTTGTAATTATATTATTTTCTAATTGATATATGAAAAACTTACGTGCAATGTCGAAGTATCGCGCCTCCTCTAGCAATAAATCCAAATCGGCAAAATTGTCAGGTATCAATAATCGTGAATTTCGCATAAAATTCAGTATGTGCCGAAACATACTACCATCCCTGTCGATAAAATAATGTTGCTTTAAGGAGTCCAGAACAATAGGTATACTACCATTGAATAATTTGGCCAACCTTGATTCTGGGTACCTGAAAATCAATTATTGCATATATATCCCTCCCTCTCTCTTCATCTTTTGAGTTTTTAAGTAAGATAATCGTTGACTCGTATTATCTACGATGTAACATCGATTCTCGATTCTCTCTCTTTTGCGTGTGTGCGCGATCGAAGGTCGACGTAATTTAGCATATAATAGATGAGTGTATGTCGGTGGAAAAAAACGAGTTGAGAAAACTCGAGGAACGCGTTAAGAGATCCGCGAATCGGCGTTGAACGAACGAAAGAAAGAAAAAAAGAAGAATAAGGAGAAGATAGGACTGAGACGGTGCTCGTGTTGTTGAAGCACAACCGGGTGCGTTATGGTATACGGGTTGGCAAAGAGAGGATGAAGAGGCGAAGGGGAAAGGGGCCAGGGGGTTGGTAGAGGGAGCAGGGGGAGGAGGAGGGAGGAGGGCGGAGGGGGAGGGGAAATGCCGATGTAGTACCTAGTGTGCCTCCTCGAGCCGGTTCCCATACCTTCCACAGCGATAACATATAATAACGATGGCCTCGTGAAGCCTACGGGCAATCTGACTTTGTTGAAAAAGACAGAAACGAAAGATATTCTATCGTGCGATACGTACTAGTTTTTTTTTTGTTTTGTCTTTTTTATATCCCCAACTATCTTACTAACGTTTGAGAAATTCTTCCGATGGGTCCCCCTTTTCAACTATACACATGTACATACATATATCCCTTATTCATAAAAGTATCCGTTCGATTGATCTCAGGTTGAGAAGCACCAGTTCAGATAATAGGAATGTTCAATGTCAAGGTGTTGACCGTTGTCAGCCCGGTGGCAAAAGGCACACATCTATATGCAGCAGTTACATACACTTAGATAGTTCGTACATATATACTGCATGTATGCAAGTACTCAGATCGATAGGTCAGAATGTAGGAGAGATCAGGATTGATTTATGAAGAATTATTGAGAAAGTAGATAGATGTGCATGTGAAATGTAAGAGACACAGAATCGCGATCCGTTGTGCTTGTCAAAAGAGAGATGTTTAACAGTCGAAGAAGAAGAAGATGATGGAGAAGAAGAAGAAGAAGAAGAAAGGAGGTAAGGGGGAAGGTAAGGGGGTTGAGGAGAGGAAGAAAAGCCGCGGCCGGTACCAAGGGCGGAGAACGAAACGCCGTGATTACCTCAGGCGATTTCTTCGACCCACCAAAGAGGGGAACACCGAGCGTGCCTCGACCGTACTTCGACCGGACCCGATCCCGGGTCAGATCCTCTCGCGCTATGGGAAAAGGCTAAACGATCGACTCACATCGCTTGGATTGCTTGCTCCGCTTTCGACGTCTTGTCCTTACACACGATCGTGCGAGTTGTTGGGTTACATGAGTGTAGATGTACGAGTTTCGTTTTACGATCGATTGCGAATTGTTTTTAAAAAAGAGATCGATGGAATTTTTTTTTCATCGGCAAATGTAATCGTATCTTTTTTTTTTCTCACGTTGAACGATCAAAAAAAAATAATAATAAGATATAGATTAATACTTTTAAAGGGTTTACTTTAATTAGAAATATTTCACATAAGTGTTTCTTTTATATATATATATATATATTTTTTTTTTTACTTTTGAAAGATTTCAGAACAGAATTTATAATATTATGAAGGGAGGGGGATAGAATTGTGTTAAGATTGTTTAGTTAATATAGGATATATATATATATATATCAATTAAATTTATTTATAATATTTAAGAGAAATGTTTGAAAATGTTAACCCATCGATATATAACAGCTTGTTACTTTTGTTTTTTATTGATATTTGATGAATTAATAGTTATTGACCCTTTCCTATGTTAGATCACATAGATCATACAAATGTTATATATATATTTAGTATCCTCGGAGATGTTGACTTACTTGGTTAGAGTTTCGAGGGAGGATGTATATATCGTACCACCAACGTCAATGTGGACCGGTGCCGTGTACCTCGAAGCTGCTGCTACACACGGTATACCCGTCATCTTCTGATTGTAAACTGGGGTAACTGGCGTCGGTGGTGTCGGTGACGAGGAATTTGACATTGTGGGCGACGTGGCCGGCGAACTGCTTGGCGACAGCAATCTAATAAAAAAAAAAAAAAAAAACGAACATTTTATTGTCATTGAACTTTAATACAAAAAATATATCTTTTTCTACAAATTTGTTCTAAGGTTTTCTTTTACAGGTTCACATGTGCAGATATATATATATATATATATATATATATATAGATATTTATTTTGATATATTTGTGCAGATATATATATATATATATATATATATATATATATATATAATATATTTTATATATATAGACTTTTTTATAATAACAGAACGTAACTCATTAAAATTCTAATCACAATTATGTCGATAATAATTTACACGGTATATGGCTCGTGGTAACAGAGAGAGGGAGAGAGAGAGAGAAAGAGATTGTAATTTTGTTTTATTATATTCTTTCTTTTTTTTTATATATTTATTTATTTCTTTACTTGCCTCATCTTAATTTGTGCGCTAGGGAACATACTGCGTTGCGCCGTTAGCTCGGCCTTCGCCTCCTTCCCGTCGGCCTCACATTTCCGTCTGCAATCAGAGGAAACCAAAAAAAAGAAAAAAAAAAAAGAAAAAAAGATGAACAGGTTAATAATTATGAAACTCATTAAAACTAAAACATAAGCGATAAGTTGTGATACGGTTTTAGATGATGTTGAATATTTCCTTATATGTTATATTCTTTTTTTTTTTTAAAAAAAAGGAACGTTAAATATCGGTGTTTGAAAATTCGTGAAAAGTTATTTGGAATGTATGTCGGATATATAATATTGTGAATTGTTAGATGACAAAAAAATAATATTTGAAAAAAATGGGACGAAAAAAAAGGAAGAAAACTTCGATGAATGTTTACAATCGTATATAAAGGTAAAATTTGTTCGAAAATATGTTAGTCGTGTAACAACGTGTATAACTGACCTACGGTGTAACGCGTATTTACATGTAAGAGATATAAAATGTTATCAATTATTGAGATAATTTCGTTTATCGATTCCAAGTGGTCAGATATCCGTTCGGTCAAGCGACGACAACGTTGATTTTAACTGTTATATTGCTTTTGGTCGGGTACAATAGTATGGTTCACTCATTCCAACGTTACCTTTCTGCCCGGGTCGAACATTAACACATAATTTTCATATATATTAATAAGCCAATTAGCAGAGAAACAATATTTAACTTGCGTTCAACTGAACTGAACCGGCGGCTTTAACGTAAAGAAGAGAATCAAAGAGCTTGCGCCAAATAAAATTAAAAAAAAAAAAAAAGGGTTGACTATAACGTGAACGAACAATGACGAAAAAAATAAAATGAAAAAAGAAGATAATTATATTATTATAATTGAGAATAATTAATCATAGACAATATATTTCATTTTATATATATATTTTATTTACTATACACGAATAAGGAATTATCGTTTAGTAAACGATCGTAATTGTGAATAATGAAAGATACTATGCTCAACAAGAACGTCACATTACGATGATCGATTAGTAATTGCAACAACTCGTTTATGCATTTACCTACAACGGTACAATCGACGATGCAAATACTAGGATATCTACCTAGGAACGTATCGTTTTGGATTAGCTTGCGGCATAGACACCATCAGTTTAGACTATTACTAAAACGTTTTATTGTCCTTTCCGTTGCGTCATTATCGTGTAACACTCCTCTTGGCTTTTCGCAATACATTTAGTCCTGAAATTTATGTGTAACGTAAATAACAGCGTATTAACGTGAATTATATTTAAAGATAAGAAGAAAACAATAAAAATCAAACGTCAACTTTTAACATTTGAAACAAATAATTCGTAAATTAATAATCGTATTACCTTTAATCATTTTCTTTTTTCTCTGTTATTTATTATTATTTTTGTATTTTGCATCAATTAATATTTTTCATTTAATATTCTATCAAATATTTATTAACAAATATTGATCAGATAAACACAGGAAGTATTGTATAAAAATAAAAATTAGGAATAATAATTGAAACGAAGATGTAATCATTTGGTAAATACTGTTGTTTGATGTTGTATACGTTTACGTTTATCACCAATATATATCTTAATATACATATATATATATAAATTAAGTGTGTCACGTTGTTTGTCCGCAATGGACTCCTAAACTATTGAACCGATTTTAATCAAATTTTGCACACTGTATGCAGTTTCATCCAACTTGAAAGATAGGATAATTTATATCTCAATTTATAATCGCAATATTATTTTATTAATCGCGAATTATTTGTTTATTAATTAATTAGAGTCATGATTATCTCTGTTAGTGACTTAAAGACGTGTGTATTGAACTGATTGTGAGCCACAGCAACGTGTGGCGGGGCACCCCTAGTATATATATATATATATATGTGTCTTAAGTTCAACGTCACGTAAATTTACGTTCAGATTTCTCAAGTATAAGTATAAGAAGAAGAACTTCCGCGATAGCCTGCATAGATAGATGGGGAATAACTCGTTAAGAAGTATCGACAGTAGGTCGGTCTCGGTCGAGGGCGTGGAAGAAAGACGCGCTCGTTGATTGATCCGGGTTGTTTTGTTTTCTATTGGTGGTCTTTCATCGTCAGAATGAAATAAATTCACTCATGCAAACAAGTAAGTAGTAATAGTAGTAGTAGGTAGTAGTATGCGTTCGCGGAAGGCGGATATGCGTCTAGTATGCATCGAGATGTAACTGTCAAAGGTACTGTACTACATGCATACACACACACGCACACACAGATACACGTGTATTATTACTAGAAACGTAGGCGTATAATGACACGTGTTTCAACCGGAACTGCGAGAGATAAACAAAAAAATAAAAAGGAAACAAAATTGAAATAATCAAAGTGGAGGCGTATTTAATTGGTATTTCAAGATATTAATGTTAGAAATTAAATAGGGGGAAATTAAAAAAAAAAAAAAAAAGAACAACTGGTAATAATCTAGTTGAAAATATACATTTAACGTTAACGACGGTAATTATTTGATTTAACGAGCACGGTTTAATTTCAAATTTGAAATATGAATGTTCTTAATGATCTTAAAGGATCATTAATATTTCTCTTAATTTAGAATGATTAGAATATTTGGATATTTACAAGATATATACAGGTTTATGCGTGATACTTTCTAACGAAATACAAACTACTTCCCCCTCTTTTCCCCTATCAACCAACCCCAGCCCATTCCCTCTTTTAAGTAGCGTAATAGTATTTTTGTTTCATACGTATCGCACAACGATGTTACATGAAATTTAATATTATTTTTGTCGGATAAATACTTAAGTGTGTAATTTTTTATTAAACGAGACTATCCACAACTGAGATAACTGAAAAATGATGGCGCGCATACTTTATGCCACAAGGCATTACATTACATTCTTCAGCCGATCGTGGTCGGTCGCTTGCTCGTTCGTTCGTTCCTTCGTTCGTTCGTTCGTTCGTTTGAAAGAGAAAGAGAGAGAATGGAAGAAGAAAATCCACGAGAGAGAGAGAGAGAGAGAGAGAGAGAGTAAGAGAGAGAATCGTATGTCGATCCAGTCGTAAAAGGGGTACTAGAGAAACGAGAAACAAAATAATGTCAGAAGTAATGGACATGTGTGTGTATATGTGTGCGTGAGTGTATGTGTGTGTATGCTTGTACGAGCTAAGGGTATATCTGTGGTCATGCAAGGGAAAAAATAGAAGAAAAAAAAAAATATATATATACATATATATATATGTATGTATGTATACTTGTGGTACATAATGGCACACGCGAGATGAAGAAGGTGGAGGAAATGCAAAAGAAGAGTCCGCGTGCGCGTTCATTTTCTTCATTCTTGACGGTGAACGGCCTCCAGTTTGCGCGCACTATGCATAAGGAGCACGCGCCATATGTATATATATATGTATATATATTTCTTCATGTTCAGTTTGTTAAATATTTTCTCGATAAAAAATACAAAATATATATACGATGAGAAAATATTTAGACATTTATAGTTACGATACAGCAACTGTGGATGTTCAATTGGTACTTGAACGGTACATTCAAATTCAACGTCGCTGGTGTTTGCATTTGTTATTATGTTATTTGTTATTTGTTTTTATTTAAGAATTTAGAAATTGGATTTCTTGTGATTAAAAGTTAATCAAACTCGATGGTATCTTGTCAGTTGTCTCATCGATCAAATCCAAAGAAACGATTCTCGTTGAAGTATCTTCCTTCCATCACGTTCCAACGTTCTAAGTTATTAAGAATCCTAGTTAATTATAACCGACAATGATTTCCGCATCCGCCCCATGCGGTGTTAGAGAGTTCCTTTGGCCTTTTCACCGGTTAACTCAAATCGAGTTTCTCCTCTTACCCGACCGATGCAAATCGTGCGCTTTCATAAAATAATCCTATTCGACGATATTTATTTAACGTTAAAGATATTACAAATAATATACATATATGTATGTGTGTTGTTTATTTTGAAGACTTTTTTTTTTAACCCTTCGAATAATCGGGAAATGTTTGTTAATAATGAAAATTGGGGTTAAATTAATTTGATTGACAAAAAAAAAAAAACATGAAATTAAAATGTTCGAAGTAACATCATGGTAGACATTTGTTTCGATTATCTTGTATGTTTTTTGTTTGTTTATAGTACTATATATATATATATATATATATATATATAGGCCATTTACGTGTCCCAGTTGCAATGGGGGGAAAAAACGAAAATGATCTTATTTTTGTTGTTGTTTTTAGTTTTCTTCATTTTCTATTTGAACTTTTTAGCCTTTCTTTATTACGGTCCATGGCCCCAGGTATATATGTACCTGCTAGTTTAGATTAGGTACATACGTACCTGCCTACGTATGTATCTTAAGACCAGTGCAAGGGGGCACTCCCGATACGCGCGAATGCGTGTCTTGCTCCATTTCATCCTCGCTTATTCCCACCACTTACTCTCACCTACTTACCCTACGAGACGGAAACTCTGACCGAGACACGTCGCGCGGTTTTAAGCCTGATTGGAATTTCATGCAACGCAAAGTTTCAACATATAGCTGCAGAATATCTTTTAGTTTTAGGACAAATCGAACCCAGATGTAGATTAGATTAGATTAGAAAATTACTTCCTTAGTTTTTTTTTTCCCTTTTGTAAAATATATCTCACACGTTTGTAGATAACTTTTATTTATCCATTTATTATTTCTCCTTTTATTAATTTCAATTAAGTAAGATAAAGACAAATTGAGAATAAATGATCAAATTATTCAAATAATTCGATACAATTACATACCGTTTGCTATATAATATAATATAATCCAATAAATTYTTATCCTTTGAATAATTAAATTGTTAAATAGTTCGATACAAAAAAAAAAAAAAGAAGCCATTTATAATATCGAAATACATGTTATCTATTTTACAATCAACAAGAATATGTACCATTTAACGTTTATTTATGATATACAGTAGTATCGTTATTATTTCTCGATGATATCTTCCAAAAAAAAACAAAAAAAAAATATTCGAAACCTATCAATGATACAAAAAAAAGATAAAAAAGGGATTCTTTAGGTACTTTATGGTATTTTTTTTGATATTCTCGATATACAAGTACAACGAACGACCTTTATAATATACGTTTACGACTTATGGAGTCACCCATCAGGAACGATAGCGTTCTTTTTATCTTTCTCTCTCTCTCTCTCTCTCTCTCTCGCTCTCGCTCTCGCTCTCGCTCTCTTTTTCGAGAAGGAGAGAAAATATTTACGAGAAAATTTCGCCGTTGGTGGCGCGGCTTCGTGAATAATTTCGGTCCGCGGGAGACTCGTCAGCCCACGGCTATATGCTCGAAGCGTTCGGTTCTAATTACGGCAACTGCAGAACGCGTCTGCGCTCGGGGCCATGCCTTCGGCCCCCATTTCCAACCCCCGCGTTCCAACCTGTGCGCGCGCGAACAACCCCTCTTTCACCCTCCCCTCCCCTCCCCTTCCCTTCCCTTCCCCGTCCCTTCCCCTCCCCTATACAGTCCTTCCTTTTACTACCCCAGCACAATTTCCACAGAGCCCACATCCGTTCTGAAATGCGAGAGCGGCTCACCGACCCTCTTTTGCGCCCCGAGCGTACTCTGACACACACACACACACACACACACACACACACACACACACACACACACACATATAAATGCACGTATACATTTATATATATATATATATTATATGCACACTTTGAGAAAAATTTGAATGTATATGAAAATGCATATAGAGATGCATGTTCTGCGAATATTCACATACATACATAAAGGGATACATTTATACATACTTTTGTACTATACGTTACCGTCCAATAGCTTTTTTCCAAAGTTGGTGATATCGTATTGCATTTATCATCGAAATAGGACTGTTAGTCGTACTATTTATATTGGATCATTATTCGATGATTTGATTATGAGCTTTTTGATTCATATTTTTTTGTCTACGTTTTTTGTTAATAATTTCTTTTGGTTTTATTTTTTTCTGGATAACATTTTGTTGTATCGTTTGATTTTTTGGTTGATTTATCGTGTATGATATTTTTCTATTGGACGTGTGATTACAAGTATTATTATTTGGCAATAGATTTCTACTGATATTTGAAAGTAAATTTAGTTCTTTAAAATCATAGATCAGATGATAGACAAAATATTTGAGAATGGCATTGATAATGAGCGTAGAAAATGTCCATGTAAATTTAAAATTATGATTGAAAAGATATCGAGAGAACACAATGGATCGTACGTAGGAAGGAAAAGTTGTACGTAACACGAAGTACGTGTTATGCATTTGAACGTGTTACACGTTCGGCGCATTGCTGTGTTTAAGCATGGAATCGGCGTCACGCGATGGAATCAGAAAGTTGGCGTGAATATCCTTTGCATATAGATGTTGTCTTACTTTTAAGATACCAAACAGGTAGGTATATGCTCTTACGTATAACTATCTATATGCTTAATTTCCGTTTCCATTCAATTTCATACAACTGTGCTTACAAGTGAAAGTCCTTACCTCGATAAGAAAAAAGATACAACGTTCCGAAATCTATTCGATGTAACATTTTGTTTTAGTATCGCGAAAATATTGTAAATTACTTTTGTGTATGAAAATATTATCGATTTGAAATGTAAGAGAAGAAAGGTAGCAATTGTGGAAACTGAAAAATTCATGGGATTGCAAATAATTGAAGTTCTTGATATTGGACTCACCGTTTCTGGCACGTGGACTCCAGGTTGACGGTTGTTCTGATGTCCACTATTTTGGAATGGTCAGGTTACTCCTCAAATGAGACGATGAAAGAAAGAAAGAAAAAAAATAAGGAAACCCAACACACTTATCCTCAACTCTTTTCGAGTTTTATTCTGAGATATAGAAAAACGTGTTGTCCATCTCGTATTGTGATCATAAGACGTAACAAACAATCTCACCCACCCACCAACCCACGTGGTCTCTCGGTTCACGTGTAGTATTCTTTCGTTTATAGTTATACGCAGAACTAGCTCATCAAGCCGCGCACGACCGCGGCTTCGATGAGACTGCGACTTGGTCGTCGGTTTCGAGTGTTCGCGCTCTCTCGAGCGCCACCAGAGTACCATTGGGAGAGTGAGGCTAACGTTATATCCACCAATACAACCAACGATCACGAGAGCATCGCTAACGGGCTTTTTTTCGTTCCTCTTCTGACCTCCTCTTCAACTCATCCCACAAGCTTCTTCTTGCGAGAGCTTTGCTAGCTTGGGGCGTTTCGGTCCCCTCCAGCTTTTGTAATCCTGAAGTCACCCTTCCTTAATGCCATCTACCTACGATAGATAGTAGGAACACTGGTATTAAATGAGTAGATGAGTCAAGTTTTTGTCTACATTATATAATAAATAAGTAATATTCAAATTAAATCTCATTATATAACGCCATTCGTATATGCATATTTTATGAATATTTAAGTATTCATCAGAACGATAATTCAATATGATATTTGGAGGATGAACGAAATGAAAAAAAATGTGAAAAAGGAATCAAGTATTAGGTATAATAGGGCAGTACGCGAGGGTCGAGATATAAAGGGAAGCAACCAAGCGGCCTGCCTGCCTGCCTGCCTGCCTGCCAGCCTTGTTCTGTCCTATTCGAGATGCCCCCTGGCAAAACGGCCATGGCCAACAACATCGTTTCAGATAGCCTGGAGCACTTCTAAACCCACTGGACGATTCTGCTGCTCGCATACATAAACTTTGTCAGGGACAAAGCGACACGATTCATGTATGTACGTGCTTCCAGTTAGAAACAGCCAACGACATTCGGATACCCATCTCGTCATCGTAGCCATTCGTTTCCGATATTTTCTTTTAGGGACCGGTATTTCTCGATGGGTACCGTTGGATTTTCAACAACAGGATTGTTCTGTTACACTGTGATAGAAAATATTTCACTCGTTTGAATACATTTTATTTTCAATATTATTTTCATTATTCCTATTATCAAATGAATGATATTCGTTATCAATTTTCGCATCAAGGTTAAACCTAGGCCTTTTCAGTGGAAATTAAAAGTTGAATTTGATACATTTAACTTCTCATCGATTTCACGTCTTAAATAAAGATTCCAATCGATGTTGCAAGTAAAAATAATCGATTTAATCGTTCAATTTCATTATTACAATAATCGAAAAACTTCTCCCGATCCTTGCAACATCTCATACAACTAACTAACAAACAAACAACTGTGAACAATAATTTCGAAATCCATTATACATGACCACCTATCTTATTTTCCCTCAATTCGTATACATGATTTATTCCTCGAGTTTTTCCCTTTGTTCTATCCTATTCTTTCATTCATGAAACCGAATGAAGGTGTAATCCGCGTTACAACAACCTCTAGAGAGAGAAAGAGGAAATATAAAAAAAAAAAAAATAAAAAAAAGGGAAGATGTTCTCGGAGAAGTATAATAATCGGTCGTAATTCAAAAGCATGATGCTTCTTCTACATATGGAAGAACTCAGGATAAGGGAGGGGAGGGGAGGGGAGGGGGGTTGAGTAAGAAAGGTAGGGAGTAGCGAATGAGATGAGTCGTTAGAGTGGGAGGTACTGAGAGATACAGAAAAAGAGAGAGAGAGAGAGAGAGAGAGAGAAACAGAAAGAAAAAGAAAGAAGAAAATAATGTCATGTTTTTGTATCATACGATATACAGACTGCCGGCATAACGGACGAGTATACGCTCGAAGCGTTCAGCAGGATGTAACGCGAAGAGTCCGAGTGTAGCCCGTGGGTTCACATATTTTAGGGAGAAGCCCTCCCCCTGACCCCCTTCTCCTTCCTCGTTCTCGTCCCAGTCCCCCAGCTCTAGCCCCAACCCCCTCCTCCTCCTCCTCCTCATCCTCCTCCACCTTCTCATTCTCCTCCCTTGGTTTTGCTCAACGTGTCTTTGAAACGGGTCTCTTGCTCAAGGCGAGAACGTCGGCTACCCACCTCCGATCCCTTTCTCTTATCTTTTTTCACTTTCTCTCTCTCTCTCTCTCTCTCTCTTTCTTTCTCTTTATCTCTAACTTTTTATCTCTTTCTTTATCTCTCATTCTCGAGCGATCATCGAGGATAAAAAGTTATCCTCCGAAGAATCAGCTTTTGAGAGTTTTTTGCATTGACCAATAATCATCTTTGACGACAGCGTTTACGAATTCCTTGGTTGGTTTGATACGATGATTTATGAGTTTAAGTTATTACGTTTATTTATCTTAAGGTTAAATCTCTTTGGAATGATCGTTATATCGATTTGATGTCATAATATTAAATTATTATACGATTGAGATTACTTTCGAATATAATATTGACTCGTTAATGTTTAACGAAAGGAACGTGTTAAGATCTTCATGCTTTTCTAACGTTATTAGAAAATGACAATTATCTCTTAAGAGAGAGAGAGAGAGAGAGAGGATTGGATAGAAAAGGAGGAATATCGAAGAAGGATTTTATCATGAAAAAGATTCCTTTTGTGTTGGTATATTGGATCTATCGAAGGGTGAATAGATGGTACGCTTGTCCATGATATGTTCTTGGTGTGTAGGCGTGCGCGTACTAGCGAGTTACAAAGGAGAAAAGAAAGACAGAGAATAGGGAGATGGAAAAGAGAGACAAAATAAAAGAGAGAATGGTTAAGAGAGAGAGAGTGTGTGAAAGAGAGAAAGAGAGATCAGAGGAATGAACGTACGAACGTACGAACGAACCAACCAACGAACGGTCTTTCTCTTGGCCGCTTATGTGACCTCTGGTGGGTGTATGTTTAACCTTTTCGATGGTAGTCGACGAAGAGGAGAATATGGCCGGCGGGCCCCCCAGAAACGACGATCACCCACGCAAGCGAATGTAAATTACCGGAGGCTGTGAATCATTTTGAGAAGATCCCAGACGGACCCCGAGGTCCTTTTTCTTCGTCCTCGATGCCCCCCTTTTTACTCTTTCCTCTCCTCCTTCTTCCCCCCACCCCCTACCCCTTCTTCAACCTATTCTCTTCCTTTTCTTCTTCTTCTTCTTCTTCTTCTTCTTATACTTATACTTATATTATTATCTCTTTCTCTTCTTCTTGTCTTTGTCTCCCATTGTGGTACTTACGTAAGGTTGAGGAACGTTAAGCTTGAGAAAAACAGGCGGCTCCCATAGGTGGCCGTGGGACGTGCTCTGGGGCCCCCAGTTCTTCTCTTCTTCCTTCTTAAATTTTTCTTTTGTTTTATTTTTTTTTTATTTTTTGCTCTCTCTTTCTTTCTCTCTCTCTCTTGATTATTTACTCTCTTTGTCTTTCTCATTCTCATACGATCAAGTTCATACGTAGTTGGTAATGCTTATTAACCGCCTCGGGTGTTACTCGAGGTGGCTTCAGAGAGAAAAATCAAAAACGAGCATCGCGAGTGCAGAACAAACCCTTTCTTTCCTCTTACTCTTGTTACTCATGAGATCTACTTGTTTCTAGTTACTCTTCTAAAATGTACTCATTTTTCTTTTGTTTTGTAGAAAATTCGTTCTTTACGTAGATTTGTATAATTTTATTAATTATTTTGAGATATTATAAGATTTATGTAGTGTTTTAGAATAGAGAGGTCAATTACTGGTTTTGTTTAGGTTCACAAATGATCAACTACTGATGCAGTGATACCCTGTCGATAAGGGTTTATAATTTCGAAAAAGTATGCTTTGTTATATGATGTCTGAAGTTCAAAAAACATTTTCATTTATTGAACCCCACTATATAATTAGTATACAACAAGTTACAACCATTTACGATAAAAATTTACCTTAATTGGTCAACTACTGGTGCATTTATCTTAGTGTTTTACAATATAATCCAAATTGGACCTTTTTGTATTGAAAAAAAAAAAAAAAACATTTGTTGTTTATCTTCAGAGTTATAATCTTTTACAATCGTTAAATTTAAATATTATATGTGGATAACGTAATCGTCAACATAGAAAAATATCGTTTGAAAATCTTGAAATTATGCGTATCTCAAGTGTTCTTACCCTAAAGGGTTAAGGGAAGAGACAGAACAAAAGATTCGCGTAATTAGAAAGCACGAAAGACATTTCGCGGTGCGAAGATCGTCTGTACCGGAGGAGTTACCAACGTGTATCGCCTTTAGCTAAAGTGCAAGCCGTCATTCTTAAGCCGCCGCCGTAAATTCTCCTGCCTTCTTCTTCTTCTCTTGGTTCGTTCGTTCGTTCGTTCGCTCGTGCGAGAGGTACTTTTTTACGGGACACCCCCGTTCGAGAGAACTGGAGGTTGAGGAGGGACCAAAAAGAGAGAGAGAGAGAGAGAGAGAGAGAAAGAAACATACAGAAAAAAAGGAGAGGAGAAGAGAGTAGATGTAAAGAAGTTCACCTTTTATGTTTTCCCATTCGAACAAGAAAATTTGTTATTCAACCAGAAACTTAGTTGGTTGGAAGAATGAAATGTATATTTTATGAGTTTACCGTATACAGTATATATTATATGTATTCATTTGAAATGATTCTCTTTAGGAACGATTAATTATGTCATTGTGATTGGTTTGCGTGATGATAATCTCTGTTCGATAACTCGTATTTCAATATTTATGTTTAAAAGTGCAAGAGAAAGTGTATGAGAGAGAGAGAGAAAGAGAGAGAGAGAGAGAGAGGGAGAGTGATAGGAATAGTTTGAACAAGAGCTTGTTGGTACAACTAATATTAATCTCTAAGTCATGCTTAATAATTATCAGATATAACGTTAAGTATATTGCCATAAGATGTTAGATACTTAAATAACGTTGAGATACTTCAATGCTGTTATTAACGAGATCTTCTATTACAAATAGGAAAGAAATGATGCACTATTGCACGATTAGTTTAACGATTAACTTATCAAACAAACTTGAACTATGATACTTTAACGATAAATTATATTTAAATCAAGTTTTGATATATATAACACGTTTTAAAAGATATTAATCATTTGTAACTGTTATATTATAATATATATACAAATTTAGGGAATTATCTCGTGACATTTGATTTAATCTATTACCTGTCAATGGCATTTTTTGGGGGGACACATTTTCAAATTACTTTTTTTTTAATAATTGCAACTTCAAAATGAAATATATATTCGTTAAAATCATGAGTT